TTTTTCCTCTGCTTAAGAGTGTAATCTATGCAATGGCTTCACTGTGGGCAAGAAAACACACAGGTTATCTCAAAGTCAAGGCTTCCCCTTGGCACTCAGCGAGTATTTCTCTGGCCAGACGCTTTTCTCAGAAAAGCCTCAAAATATTTCCAAACTAGAGTCAGAAATGTTCTAGTGAGGGCAGGCTCCAAACTAAGAGTTCGGCTAGTCACCAAGGCGGCCAATGTCACAGAAATGGAAAGTGCAGCACACTTCTTCAGTCAGTGCTCAGGATGATGCAGCCTATCTCCCAAGCAAGGGCAGCTGCTGGAGAGAAAGTGCCAGGCAAGGCATGTCTCCACTGGGCCCCGTGCCTGCGCCCACCCACACCCTATGCCCAGTGTGCACGGCAGACAGGATACACCCTTTCAGCCCCCCAAAACGCACCTCCGCAACTGAAAAGTCACAATGACATGACTTACCTAGCAGCAGCCACTTTCTCCCACAATGATTCCCTAGGAAAAATCCTCCAGCCGGAGAGGCTGCCCTTCCAATTGTCACAAGTGTTTTCGGTTAAACTGCTCATGTTTCTAATTAACTTTTGTCATCCACAACTACTCCAGTGCCCAGAAGCCTGGCGGGATTAACGGCTGCTGCTTCTGCCTTTTTTTTTTTTTTTTTTTTCCTTTAATACCTATGTTCCACTGCCTTCTAGCAACAGAATAAACTGTATATAGAGCGGCTTTTTATGATTTAAAAGTCAACGGCCGCTGAAGCCAAGTGAAGGCAGCCCCTGTGTGGGGCGTGAGCACCGCGCCCTGAGAGCTGCACAGTAGAGGAACTGCCTCCTTTCACTCTCAGCTGCTCGGGGAAGCCACAGCTCCAGGGTGATCCAAAGCAGACCTCCCAATGTTTTAAAACACATATATCTTCCTGACTTACTGGGGATTTGGGTTTGGAGGGAGGGTGCCTCACAATCCTCCCTAACAAAACTCAAGGGGCGTTGTTGGATCTTTTCCTGGGGAGAGCCAGGGACTGGCTTTGAATCAGGCTCATAGAACCCACCCACACTGCTGGGCTGTTGGAGGGTTGCTATAGGCTTGATGCTGCCCATCAGTGGTCTGCTGGGTGTCAGGAGGCTCAGTACTCAGCACGTTGTGAAAAGGGGGTTCCTGCCTCTATTTTAAGAGTGAGGAAACTAAGTCTTAGGTAGGGCAAAAAATGATCCTAAATTACACAGCTAAAAAGGCAGAGATCTGGGATTCGAACTCAGGTCTCCTGACATGGTATCACAGCTACCTTCTCTGATGAAGAATATACCTAAACAGCCACCACTTAAACAACAGAGCACTTTTAGGAACTGCCCTTTCTACTACCTTATGTATGCTCGTGGCATCCATGGTGGAGTACAAACTAACCCTGCCATTTGAAAGGAAGCAGCCTACCTCACAGAGGATGGCTCTCTGGCTGAAATAATAGTGAACCCACCGATCCTGAGTACCACTCCTCTTAGGAAAACTGCCTTTCCCTTTACCTGAACTCAGATCTGGGGCAGACATAAAGTTTTCATTCATTCATTCATTGATTCACTCAACATATTCATTCATATCTATCTATTCATTCATTGAGCTCCTAATACGTGTCAGATACCGTTTTAGGTACTTGGGATCCACCTATGACAAAACAGACAGAAATCTCTGCCTTCATGGAGTTTACATTTCAGCAAGAAGGAGCAGATAATAAATTTAATTAATTAAATAATGTTATTTGTTAAAAATTAGTGCTAAAGAAAAGAAGGGGCGTTGGGGGGCAGGTTGTAACACTGTCCTTATAGGAACTACCAGATCATGTTCAAAGGTATGTTCCTCTTTCCTCAAGAAGTTTTAGGCATAGTCCCCATGTGTGCATGGATTAATGTGACCTTGTTGCTTGGAACTACTCCGAGGTTTGCTCAGAAATGGATGTCTCTACTACCATTTCTATCCATTTCTATGTTTGTTGGATTGTTTGTTTGTTTTTAACACTAAAAATCATAGCTAGAAATTAACTAAATAAGCAGCTAATAACTGACCCAGAAGAAAACAGATACCTGGCTTGTCTTGGTGAAATGGCCACCTGAGACCTTCAGTCCTAGTTTACATTGCATAGCATTTTCCCCTACTGGATAACTCGCTTGGATTCTGCCCATAACCTCTTCCACAAAATGATTTTGGAGGGCCAGCTACTTTATACAATGCTCTGGGAACAGAGAGTTGAATAAAGCTCCTGCCCCCTAGGAACTCACTGTCTTAGGGTGCAATGGACTTCAAAACAAACCATGAACACAGAGTAAAAAGTGGTAGAGGGCTCTATGAGGTGCCATGAGAACCAGAGGATTAGTGGGCTCCACTAATTCTCCCTGAAGAGTTTGGGAAAGCTTCCTGGAGGAAGTGATCCTTCTATTATCCTGTGGTGCTTCTGCTTTAGGTCAGTTTGTTATTCCCCTGGTCTGGAATTTCCTCCAGGACAGAGACTCCCCTTCCTAACGCATCTTTGTGTCCTAAAGCCTGCTGGAGCATAAAGATACTTAGTAAATGGCTTCTGAATTACTGGTTGGTGTTTTTGACATTTACAAGTCACATTTAAGGCAACAGAGATGTAGGATTTGTGATGAGTCTTTAGGGTTTTATTAAAATGCTTCAGCCTAAACTCAGGAAAAAATTCAGATTAAAACAGAGAATCAGAATGTCTATGTGGTATTTAGTCTGCACTCCCCTGGTTAAGTCATGGGGGCTACTCATTACAGTTACAAAATGTAGCACTTGGGTATGACTCTGAATTTGGGTTCTAGAGCAGAAGTCTTGAGTGGGGCTAGACAGAGGGCACTAGGGCACCTCAGGACCAGGCCATCAACATTCTATCCTCATGTCACAGCCAGAAGTCCCCTATGTAGTAAAGGAGACATCACGTCATGAGTGGTCTTATACAAAGTAACTTGATACATTTCTATCATTCTTAGGACCTCAGAGCTTGGATGAGTGGCTGTTAGAGGCTTGTTCCTCTCTTGTCCATTTCTTCTTCTTTTTCTTTCTTTCTTTTTTTATGAGACAGAGTCTCACTCTGTCACCCAGGCTGGAGTGCAGGGGTTGATCTCGGCTCACCATAACCTCCACTTCCTGGGCACAAGTGATTGATTCTCCAGCTTCAGCTTCCTGAGTAACTGGGATTACAGGCAAGTGCCACCAACACCCAGCCAATTTTTGT